TTTCTTCCTTCTTCTTACTCCTCCTTTTACAAAATTTTTTTGCAATCCTTCTCCCTCTTTCCTCTGTGTTTCTCCTCTTGTTCTTTTTCTTTTTTTTTAAACAATTTTTGTCTTGAACTCTTAAATAAATTATTTTTCTTCTTTTCAACCTGTCAAACTGTCAAAAACTGTCAAAACTGTCAAAACTGTCAAACGACATGAATGAAGCAAGTCGCTCAGCAAATTACTATTGACGACCAATAACCAATCATTCATCGCGGAAAAAGAGGCAACAATGTCAATAACATGTCTTTCTTAGAAAGGGATCATTTACAGCAACACACCCTAATGGCACACATTTTTTTGTTATTAATTAATTTTATTAATTAAATTAATTCAAATAAATATGATGAGAAGACTCACCAATCAGTTAAAATTGCCTTTAATAATGCCATACCGATCAGGATATATAAGAGTTCTCTCTTCTACTCTAATTATTATATAAAGTATAGTGGTAATACATATATTACATATAAGACATACATATATACATATAAGAAGAAATGTATTTCGAAGAAATAAAATGTCAGGAATTAAAAATAATAGAAAATTATTAGCATAAGAAACAATATTGTATAAATGAAGCGTATTATAAAGTCTGCAACGTACATTTTATGTAAATCTCCATCAATGCCGAAAGACAAGAACTAAATAAATCTATCTATACATATCAACATATAATTGTATATAATATATATTACATTATTAATACATACACATTTATGAAATTTCAATCTTTTGCTACAGAACATTTTAAACTTCAATCAAGACATCCTTTGAGTAAGTTAAAAAAAATTAACGTCTGTAAATTATCTCTTTGTAGGATATGAATGGCTCGGAAGTAGCATAGCAATGATGGCAAACAGAATCTCTTATACCTTCGATTTAATTGGACCCAGCTTTTCGGTGGATACACTTTGTTCTTCATCTTTGACTGCTATGCATCAGGCAGTCGTGGCGATACGCACTGGTGATTGCGACGCAGCGATCATTGGCGGATTGAATATTGTGCTTAATCCGGTTCACTATCTTCATTATCATAAAAAAAATATGCTATCCACAGAAGGTAAATGTAAATCATTCGACATCTCAGCTGACGGTTACGTGAAAGCCGAAGCAGTGGTTGCAATATACCTGCAGAAAATGACAGACGCGCGCAGAGTATATGCTACAGTAATGAACACAACGATAAACGCGGACGGCTACAAGCCCGAAGGTATCATGTATCCGAATGGTGACATTCAGTACCTGATGTTGCAGAAAATATACAATGAGGTAAATATTGATCCCAAAGACATAGTTTACGTGGAGGCGCATGGTAGCGGTACCAGAGCGGGTGATCCGGAGGAGCTCGGTGCCATCGATAGGTTGTTTTGCAAAGACAGAAAGACACCGCTGTTAATCGGCTCGGTTAAATCAAATATGGGACACGCAGAACCTACCAGTGGACTGTGCGCGATCGCCAAGGTGCTGATTGCGATGGAAACCGGTGTGATTCCGGCGAATCTGCATTTTGTTACTCCAAATCCAAAGATTCCCGCGTTGACCAAGGGACGTATTCGCGTACTTGACAAAGCTACGCCATGGAACGGCGGTTTTGTGGGTATCAATTCATTTGGCGCCGGTGGTACGAATTCGCACGTCATTCTGCGCAGCAATTCGAAGGTAAAAATATCATTAGATACCGTCGAGCAGCAATTGCCGAAGCTGGTTGCCGTATCGGGCCGTACAAAAGAAGCTGTACAGGTATTATTGAACAAGGCAAACGAGCATCGACAAGACAATGAGTTTTTATCTCTACTGTACTCCGTGCACAGTGATAACATACCGAATCATAACATTCGTGGCTATGAAATACTCGCTTATGATAGTACGCGCGAGATTGTCGAGGCGAATTATGACGAGAAACGTCCCGTTTGGTTTTTATTTTCCGGTATGAATACTCAGTGGCCGGGTATGGGACGCGAATTGCTTGACATCGAAACGTGCCAGCGTAGTCTACAACGATGCGCCGATGTATTAAAGGAGCACAATGTTGATCTAATGAATATCATCATTAACGGTACTGATGAAACATACGAAAACGTATTGGTTGCTACCGTGTCAATCGTGGCCATTCAAATCGCTCTTGTC